ATAGGGGGTTTAAAGAGACGACAGGGGATAGGGAGGCGATAAGGGATACGACAAGCCAGATAAGGTGGAGGCACAGTCGTGTCGATATAACAGGTTAAGGTAATCAGGCAGAGAGAGGGTGAAAGGAGGGGAAGAGGAGGATCTGAGTTTCGAAAACAATTAGGTCGAGAGGTTAAGGATAAGGTAGGAAGTGGAGAGATAAAGACGAAGGACATGGCATTCTCGAAGAAGTGGAAAAACCAAGGGTAGACGACCTTGAGAGTGAGGCCAAAGTTGTGGATGAAGTACGACGTGACTGGCGGTCACAGACCCACTATTTGCCTCCACCTCCACACATTGCCTGAAGTGACCCCTTTCCTGTCAGGTGGAGGGACGTGGCGTGGAAGCAGGTACTTTACTTTGTGCCTGGCACAGTGCACCATAACTCCTCATGATTAAGATAGTCCGCACCCAGTTTTGCCTGCTGACCTAATTTGGTGCAGAACCATGCAAATAAATCCCGAGTGACATTCAGCACAAAACCTCACGTGTTACTGAGACAACCTTGACGGGCAGCTACATGAACACACTCCACATCAAGAGCATCCGTACAACAGGGGTTCCGGGAAACTTCGGCATGGCATGTCGAGGGGGCCAAGAGGACAGAAGTATTGGAGCCCATAATTAGTGTGCTGCGTCCTTCATTTTGCATTGTTTCTTCATTACCATACAACAAGCTTCAAGGGTCTTTTATTGCAGAGCACCATGCTCCTGCGATTTACGGTTCCCCTAGCCAGGGCAGCCTTTAACAACATGCCAAAGACAACTCTCCAATATCTCGATCACTCAACAAACCCGTTTCCGTGCCTCATAACTAAAACAACAGCGTATCGTATTGGGTTTTATCCCGGGCCTCGATAAGCAAAGGGGTTAAACCAGATAGAAGATATCAAAGGAAAGAGACGGGCATTTCCTTGCTCGTTTCCTACCGCGACTGTTCTATTGTGTGGTCTCTAAGTTCTCATATATAATGCGTCTTGTCCAAACCTCCAAGTACATACGACCATACCTATTGGAAAACTCGGGATCCCGTCCGCTCTCCCCTAGATAAGCCAGTAAGGGCCGGATTAGTAGTTGGGTCGGTGACGACCAGCGAATACCCGGTGTTGTATGTTTTTTTTTTAGCTTTCCTTTACATAAGGTCCGACCATCACTCGCCCTTTTATAAGTCTTCAATGCAACGACAGACTATTAGTCAGTATAATAATAAGGAAGATAGTCCAAGAATCTGCTCGATCGAACCGAGCCTCTAAGATCCCGCACCACAAAAGTCCTATATAACTCCTAGGGCCTTGTTCACCGCGTACCAGTAGTTACGGAATTACGAAGGATTTATCCGCTTATGCTTCAAGCCTGAGTGTGAACAACTCGCTCAGACACTGTACGCCCCTATTTCCATGTACCGAATTACTCCAAAGTAAAGCAAGCCATGCCTGCTGGAAGCGGATTAGAACCCCTGGAAGGCGTGCTCGTGACGCGATCCGCAGGACAAGGGGCAGATCTGACGGAGACAGTGGGGCAGAGAGGGGTCAGGGGGTTCAAGAACAGTCATCCGCTCTCTTTATAGGGTGAATCACGGGGGTCTCCCAGGCATTCTCACCCATTACTGATAGCAGTGGCGTCCTGGAAATGAACACTGTCAAGGCACCAACATCCTACCACCGTGATGTACCCTTACAGTGTGCTGGTAGCATGGTAGATACCTCACGAAGTATTATGTTATGTCGTGTTTGTCCATCGTCCTCCAGGTGAATCAGAGTCCTCGCCTCCCATGTCGCTAATGACATGGTATTTACACGATAGGATGCAAAAGCTGGTCGGCTATGCACTTGTATCCGTACTTCGTGCTTGACTTTATGTAGGTGCATCTAGCCCGATCTCGGCACTTCTATGAAATATGATCAGTTACAGAGTGCGCGATAAGCTCTGGCACCACGTCCTTGATTCTCTTGTTTCTTGTGTACATAGTGTATGTACCTACGGTACCTAAGTTACCTCAGGTAAGGTAGATATCTTTGAGCTATACTTAGTACATGATACGGAATGTGTACTCCACACTTCCTTCGTACGCACGGAAATGAAGCATGTACCTCCACAGGTGAGAAGGCGCGACGACAGTAAGGTAGCCAAGGTCGTTGTAGTGAGGTAGCAAATCGTTTGCTACCAGGTAAGGTACCTTACACGTAGATAAGGGAACAACTATAATTCGGCTTAGTGTCAGTCCTCCTGAATCAGGATGCTCATCGGTCCAGTGTCGCCGATCATATGTTCGGGCAGCCACGATATTCCTTGGAAGTTTACTATCTCCCGTCGCCTTCGTCTCTCGCGACATGGTTACAGCTCCGTCAGTATGCCCTATCTCCGTGGTTATGCTGCCCTTATCGCCATCGCGTCGCCCAGAGTCATTTGGGCACTACTTCATACCTCGTAGGCGGTCAGCTTATCACTCTGAACCCCCAAAGCCGGGGGGGTTCCTCAGAGGAAACATCTGCAACTAAGGTAGGTACATAGACGGCAAGGTTTCCTATCCGCAAAGGCGATGCACCCGCATGACTCGACAAATACCGAATACGGATACTTATCCTGGACTTCTGAGGCCTCAAACGACTTCCCGACCTTAAAATCGGGAGTACTGGGTCGACACTAAGAATCAACCTTCATTGAAGCCTCCGGCTTGGTGGAAAACCTTGATCATTTCGTAGCACAACCGTCTCTCGCGGAAAAGAAGCCATGATTAACCACTGCGTTTCTCGTGCGGTGCGGATACTCTGTACTCTCGCCCAAGCTCGACTATTGTGGCTGTCTCAACCGTTGGACCGGATTCGAATCCGAACCGCTGTCAAGGCAGGCCGGCTTAACTGACGAATTAAACAAAACAGCGGGAAGAACTCACACGGTGGCTTGAGACACTCACTACCACCAGGCTCCATATTTCTTCACTGTTTATATAAAATTTGGTGAATGAAGCATTGTCATATTCCACCTAACGTCTTTTCACCATGGCTCGACCAAAAGGTTCCCTGCACAGGGCACCTGAAGCCTCGAGGTATCAACGATTGACCTCAAACCGGACTCGGTTGTCCAGACTTGCAAGACTCTCTGACAGCAACCTCGCCGATTGTTGGCTTAACGCCGTCCATCCCTCCCGCCTCCCTCCCGACATACAGAAGGCACGGACGGACGGCCAATGGAAGATGCGCTTCCCTGCAGTATCTCTTACCTTCAATCGGTTCTCCCAACAGGCATGCTGGCCCTGCCCGACCTGCAAGTAGTGTACAATACCTGCGCCCAGTCTGTCTCCACATGACAAATACTAGGCGAGGCCGGATCCTTCCCCGGACGAGCGAGGTTCATCAATGCATTGCCGACGTGTCAACATGTCAGACCATACCCTCCCTCCTTCGTCCGTCTCCCATACATAAAACCTAAGCAAGTTCCCATCTCGGGCCCGGCAGGCAGAAGAGGGGAATAAATAAAAGAGGGAGAGCCTTTAATTAAGCAAACGGGAGATCCTAAACAAATAACAAGAAGGAGACGCTCGACACGGTGACCGTGACCTTTTGCTTGTCGTTGCCCAGTAAAAGTCGCCCCAGTCCCCCCATCCACCCCAAGGGAAATCCACGAATCGACCACGACCCTGCATGCATGCATGCGATTGTCCGCCTTGTTGACCGCGGTTGCCTGCTTCCACCCCACTTCCCTTTCCTCCTACCTCTCCCCTATTTCTACGTATTTCGTAGGCCTCACTTCCTTGCTCCTCTAACATTGATTGGAAGGGCGGATAAGATACTGCCACCCATAGTCTCGGATCTCTATCGACCTTCCCTTCTCATGAGACCAGTATCCCGCTGGCTGCATACCTAGTCCAGGTTTTATATCGGTAGACCCCTCCACCTGCCCGACCGTCGAACCCCCTAACCGACGGGTGCATATCGTTAGATGGGAGTTTACCCTGCACCTCGGCATGTCTTGAGAATACATCGGACCATCTTTGGACTTCACCGGCGCCTTGGCAGAATTTTGAAACTTCTACAGGAAGAACAAGCATTGTTCTTTTTCGATCAAAGGCTCACGGCCTTCTTCATAGCAGTTTATGGGCGGATCTATCGAGTCCGTCTGTGACGTGGCGCCGGAATGGGAAGAAGGGGGACTCTCATCCCTCACTGATCAACCAGCTGCCGCGACCACCCTCCATCCTCCCCCCCCCCCATGGGAAAAAAGGGGGAAGTAAGGCACATCTCACCCAAAATCCCCAATCCCTAGCGACTTTCTTGGTCCTGGGGACAGACATCAAAGTGCCAGTCCTTCCTTCCTATTCTTCGCTCCCACGACAAGCCTCGAAGACCTGGCTAGATTTCCCCCCAGCACACATCTCCGGCTCCGATGCGATGATGCATCTATCCAGTCGTCTTCTTGGATCTGCCGAGAGAGGGGTTAACTGTAGATGGCCTCTGACGGCGGTCACCTTTTTCTTACACGCTCGACCTTCGCTCTTTCTTTCGGGCCACAGCTGTCCTTGGCTTATTTGACTCTCCTAATTATTGTTTTTGCCGTCAGCTGTTGGACAGCAGCTCCCGGACGCTTCCAGATATATCTCTCCCTTTCTGGAGGCCACTAGTGGCCCCCGGCCTTGGGCGCGTTGGGCAACTCTTTCAAGGCTTCGCCAATAATGCCAATCGCGTTTCGAATCTCCGCCTCGGTGATGACGAGCGGGGGAGCAAATCGGATAATGTTCCCATGTGTCGGTTTGGCCTGTGATTCACATACCAGTCAGCCTCTTGCTAGCCGCTGGCCTATCGCATCTCCTGTCGTCCCCCTCTTTTCGGTCGCGTGACCTCTTCTTCCCGCCCCAACTTTCCCGAGGGGAAAAAAAGAAAAAAAGAAAAAAAGAAAAAAAGAAAAAAAGAAAAAAAGAAAAAAAAAAGACCAGGAAATGCAGAAGACCAAGGGACAATCCGCTGGTTTTGACTCACCAATACTCCCTTTTCCTTCAACAAGACGCAAAAGTCCCAAGCCGTCCTTCCAGAGGTGGCAGATTCGTCAATAACAATAGCGTTGAGCAGGCCCTTGCCGCGGACGGTCTGGATGATGGGAGACTTGAATGCAATGATGGATTCTCTGAAGATCCAACCCAGCCGCTCCGCCTGGGCGGTGAGGTCCTCCTCTTCCATGATCTCGAGAGCGCGCATGGACACGGCGCATCCGAGAGGGTTACCACCGTAGGTGGACCCATGGGTCCCGGGCTCGACGACGAGCATGACGTCGCGGCGCGCCAGGACGGCCGACACGGGGTACATGCCGCCCGAGATGGCCTTGCCGAGGGTCACCATGTCGGGCTTGATGCCGGACCACTCGGAGCACAGCATGCGGCCCGTACGGCCGATCCCCGTCTGGATCTCGTCGCAGATGAGGAGCACGTTGTGTTTCTTGCACAGGGCGTGGGCTTTGCTCAGGTAGTCGTCGTCCGGGACAACCACGCCGGCTTCACCCTGGATGGGCTCGACGATGAAGGCGGCCGTCTCCTTGCCGTGGGCCTCGAGAACCTCCTCGAGATCGGCAATGTTGTTGTAGCGAATCGCTTTCCCTGTGGAGGGGGAGTAGGCGCCGATGTTCGGAACGTAAGGGCCATAGTTGTCACGGGATTCAGGGTCGGTGGAAAGGGAGATGGCAGTCATCTGGAGAGTAAAGGTATCTTTGCGTTAGCCCGAACATCCACTGCCTTCCGTCTTCTGGGGCATAGCTTGAGGAGAAAAAAAGAGAAGGGGGATGAGGGGAGTGTACGCACAGTACGGCCATGGAAGTTGTCCTGGACGGAAAAGACCAGGGCCTTCCCCTGCGGAACGCCTTTAACCTTGTAAGCCCACTTGCGAGCGATTTTAATGGCCGTCTCGACAGCCTCGGCACCGGTGTTCATGGGTAGGACCATGTCGAAGCCGAAGACGGCGCGGACTTTTTCGGCCCAGCGGGGAAAGACGTCATTGTAGAAAGCGCGGGAGGAGAGGGTCAGGCGGGCCGCCTGGTCGGCGAGGGCCTTGACGAGCTCCGGGTGGCAATGGCCCTGGTTCACGGCGCTATAGGCAGAAAGAAAATCCATGTACTGGCGGCCTTCCGGGTCCCAGACGTGGATGCCTTGGCCGCGGGCGAAGACAACAGGGAGGGGATGATAATTGTGCGCAGCGTACTCGTTCTCGGCAGCGATGGCGGAGTCGGTCGAGGAAGCGTGGAACCTGGCCGGTACGTCATTGTTCCCGCTGGTCGAGGATGTGGCGGCGCCGTCTGCGTGAGGTGCCATGGCTTAGGCTTAGGTGACGGACACTAGGAGGACGAGAAGACAATTGGTTTGTATCACTTGTGATCTTGGGTAAGGTAGGGTAGGTAAGTTGGTGATGGACAATGTAAGGTACAGTATAGTTGGTGAAGGGAGGTGAGGGGCAAACTTCGCGGGGTTCTTTGAGGGTAGATATACCCCCCCCGACCCATAGAAACTTTCATCATGGAAGGCGGGAGGCGGCACCCAGGACAGATCTGCTCACGTAAAAAGAAAGCTCTACTTGCAAGATACAAGTTAAGTACTCAATGGCACTTATCTCATTCTAAAGGGGTTCCCGGCTCCATGCAAGGGACGACGGCACCGGCGAAGAAACGTCCACTTGGGGAAGAGGATAGGGCGAAGAAACCGGAAGCTCTGTCCTCCGAGTCCCCACCGAGAGTACCCCTAAGCGCAGGTTTACGCGGCTCAAGGCGGGTTTGGTCATGACGGGGCCATGAGTCCATGACCCAAGAGCTTTTCCATCCCGACCCAGCCAGGTGGTCACATGGACCGCCGGCCTGCCCAAGGAAAGCGGTCACTACCTTAGTGACATTTGCCCCCGTTACACTACCTTACCAACATGTGGTCGAACCCGCGTGGGGGAGACGTTTCCAAGGCCCTTGCATTTTCCGGATGATGTATTCGTAGGTACAAGGGAAGAGATGTCGAAGAGGGAAACGTACATGCTCTGCAGTCGGCTATTTCAATTGAAACTCCCAGGTCTCCTTCTCAGCCGCCAACGCTTCACCATATAGTTGGCGGAACCCAGGTCTCCTGTACGTTAGCGTTGTTCTCGTTCTTTCAAGTCTAAGATGTTCATTCAGGTGAAGACTTCGAACCGAAATCGAAGCAGGTGGACAATCCGGTCGTAAGCCGATCGGCCAATCAACGGCGAAGGATTTATAAAACTGGCGTCCAATGAAACTTGACCGAGTGGTTCCCGTCTGGGACATCTCTCGGCTGCGAAGTGAGAAAGGAAAGTACTTGGTCCTTGGTACACTCCCCACCGTACTAATAAGGTACCATACGCCCCTGAGATTGGATACATGGTCATAGATACATACCTAAGGTACTGGACTTTCAACATAAGTAAGGTAGAGATAGAGTACCTAGTATTCACAAAAACATAGTCTGGTATGGGTGATTAAGTATACTCTACTTAGAAAGCTACGCATAATCTGTACCTACGCATTTAGTCGGTCTTTCTTCAACCACAGCAAAACGTCGAAACGTCGAAGGGAAGAACTTCCCCCCTCGGAGCGAGCCCTTTTTCATGATTTGCATCTCTCCTCAGCTCGTACGTTTCAATGTCTAATACGAGAACATGACAGTCAATAACTTCTCAGATTCGCCCTGAAGCCGACCATTTCAAATCGCCAACCCCATCCACTATGGCTTCCGTCGGCTCTCATGCCTCCAAACCCCTAAAGGCAGTTTCAGACGAGCGCGACCCCTTTGCCAGGATTTCCTCTTCCTCTTCCTCCTCCTCCCCTTCTTCTTCTTCTTCCGTTTTTTACAAGCTTCTGGTCATCCGCTCTGTCAATGCGTACTGGCTTCTCACCTTTTTCCAGCCCGATGAGTACTTCCAGGCCCTCGAGCCTGCCTGGCAGAGGGCCTTTGGTGATGCCAGCGCCGCCTGGTTGACCTGGGTGCGTGTCTCCATACGGGATGAGATGATCTGATATGAAGAAAAGGGAGAAAGGGAGAGAGTTAGGCCTGTCTAGCTGACCAACTCTCCTCCTAGGAATGGAGACTTCAACTGCGCTCATCCCTTCATCCAGCCCTCTTCGCCGCCGTCTACTGGATCGCCGACGCCTTCACTAGGTTAATCCCGTCTGCGCTGGCCGTGCAACTGAGACCATCTATTCTTATAGCCGCCCCGAAGGTGCTTCAAGTCGTATCTGCCGCTGCCAGCGATTGGTACGCTTGGCAGCTAGCTGCCAAGTTGTACGGCCTCAACTCTACAAGTTCCTGGTTTGCTGTAGAACACTCCCCTCCCCTCTTCTCTCCATACGCCTAGGCATATAGTTTCTTGATACTGATGCCCCATGTCTTTCGTGTGCCTTGTAGCTTTTCTTGAGCATATGTAGCCCCTTTCAGTGGTTCTGCTCCACCAGGACCTTCTCCAACTCCCTCGAGACTACACTCACCATCATGGCCCTCTACTACTGGCCCTGGGAGCTATTCGGTGAACGGGAAGCTGTTAAAGAGAATCCTAAGGCTTCCGTGTTGTCCAGGTTGTCTTCTCACCCGTCGTCTTCTTCAACGGGGTTGCGGCTTATAAACAGGTACTTTCTCGCCCTCGAGGACAAGATCAATCATGGCATATCTACAGAACAGGAGGCAGAAAAGGCTAATAATTCGTCTCTTGTCTCACCGCAGTCTGCGATTCTCTCTTATCCTAGCCGCGTTTGCTGTTGTCCTCCGTCCTACCAACCTTCTACTTTGGCTCACTATACTCATCACCACCCTCATTACCTCCAGCTCCAAGCCATCAGCCATCAACCGGACCGTCCTCCTTGAACTCACCCGCGAAGTCATTCTCTGCGGCTCTCTCGTTCTCACCGTCTCCCTCATATCTGATCGCCTCTGGTTTGGCGAGTGGACATTCCCCCCGTACACGTGGCTCTATTTCAACATCTCCCGCTCTCTCGCCGTCTTCTACGGCCGCAATGATTGGCACTACTACCTCTCCCAGGGCATCCCCCTCCTCAGCATCGCCGCCCTCCCTTTCGTCCTCGCTGCACTTTACAGAATCCCAAAGGCTGGCTCCCGAGCTCCGGACCTGGCCCTGCGCACCCTCGCCGCCGCCGTGTACGCCATGATCACCGCCCTCTCACTCATCTCCCACAAGGAAGTCCGCTTCATCTACCCGCTCCTTCCGATCCTCCACGTCCTCGCCGCCTCCTACGCCGCCGCCTTCTTCACCCGGCCAGCCCCGAACCGGGCGTCCGCCGCCTCTTCCGAACCTGCATCCCGTCCCCAATTCCGCCGCAAGGGCCTCCTCACAGCCGCTCTCGCTCTCAACATCTCTCTAGCCGCTTTCCTATCTCTGGGCCACCAGCCCGCACCTTTGAACGTCCTCACATTCCTCCGGCGCGAATTCGAGCGCCTCCATCCCGCCGAAGCTCAAGCCCTGCCGCCGTTTACCGCAGAAGATCAGGATCGCCGCGACGCAGAAGAAGTCGAGCTCTTCGCCCTCTTTCTCACCCCCTGCCACTCCACGCCCTGGCGCTCCCACCTCGTCCACCCGGCCCTCCACGCCCGCGCCCTGACTTGCGAACCCCCCCTGCACACGAGCCCCGACACGCCCGAGCGCGACTCGTACCGCGACGAAGCGGACCGCTTCTACGATGACCCCGTCGGCTTCCTGGGGCGGGAACTCTGGCCGTCGCAGAAGGAGTGGTCTGACGGCGAGGCAGTGCGCCCTGAACGGATCCCGCGCTTCATCGTCGGATTTGAGGGCATCGAGCCGTGGCTAGACGAGTTTTTCGCTCGCGGTCCAGGAGCCGGGTTTGGCGTGCATTTGAAGAGGGTGTGGGAGGGATGGAACGGCTTTTTTAACGAGGACTGGAGGAGGCGAGGCAAGTTGGTCGTCTGGGATACAGGCGTGTATGCCGATTGATTCTGCTCGAGTTAACCCTAACCTCATTGCGTATGGGAAACGGTGAAAAAGCTGTGAAATACGGACTATTGTACATTAATTATTGTAATAAAATCATTCATACCATATGGAAGAGAGTCCCACACAGATTTTCTTTGGAGACTTTACTCTGGGACCTTGGGTCAAGGGGCCTTGACCCTGGAGCAGGCTGGCTAGATCGCCAGAACCGTGCCTAACAGTTGGAGTAGAGGCACAGATTCCTCTTGCCAACAGCACCAATTTCTAATCTTCGGTAACGAGTCTCCAAATTTCGCATTTCTCAGCCCGTCCTGACAGACTAGGGTAGGGCCCCCCCGGGTGTAGCTTCAAACATGCCGTCGCGTGGGCTAAGGAAGAGTTCGACCCGCAACACCATGGGGATTCCTCTGGCCTCGATTCCTTTCCCTACCAAACCCGTTTCCATCGGCTAACTTGCTAATCCCTCAGCTGTCTCACCTGTACCGGCTCGTTGCAAGTGAAGTAAGGAGGAGGCAAGTTAGGTATTCAATCGAGACGCCCGTGCCGGTGTTCAACCAAACAATTTTACACACAACCACCCCCCCCCCATCATGGGTTAAACACTTGAGATTTCTGGGTATCGAAGAGAATGCGATTCCTAAGAGTATTCCACCTCGCTTTTCCTTTCCCTGCCTGGCATGCGTAGAATAGGTAGAATGAGACACTCTGCTGGAAACTTCATGTCCCAGACGTGGGATACAATGAGAAGACCAAGAAGACAACAGCAACGATCGATCATGCCGCCAATGCCGTCCAGCCCCGTGTATGTTCGATATGGCAAACCCTCGTTGTCGAACTTTCTCCTTGGCTGGGCTTAGAATTGTAATGGGAGCCCATCACAGAATGCCCTTCTGACGGACATCGGCCCGTACTAGTAGTAGTGCACTCCCATAGCTCCCCAACACCCGCTATCTCATCCCCCGAAGGAAAGGAAAAAGAATAAAAATTTGAGAAAAAGAATCGAAGAACCCCCAGCATTATGATTCCCACAGGCTAAGAAAAACAAATCGAGACATCTTTGTGCCTCTTGATATTCCCAGAAAGAACTTGGTGAAATTATATGACAGTAAAAAGGTAGAAGCAAAAGGGGGAGAGAAAGGAGGAAATGATCCTTTCATTCCAATCCCTAGCAAAACCCCTTCAGCTTCGCGCCAAAAAAAAAAAAAATTGCACATGAACATACGATAAGCGACCTGACCCCGTTTTTTGTTGCGCCCGGAGGCAGACTGGGGCCCTCGCTTATAAAACTCGCCGAGTCCGAACACACCCACCCCGTCATTGCTTGCTTTCGTGCTCTCTGTCGGGACCTGAGGCCTGCTCCGTCAACGGTGTCGCCATCGGCGCGGCTGTTTCAGGAGCTGCGGAAGCAGTCGTCGTCGGCTGTTGCTCCGGGTGAAGATTGGCCTCTTCCCGAGCAATGTCCATGCTCTTGCCCCTGGCTGGGAGAATCGCCGCTTCGAGTCCGGTAGATCGCTCACTGTCTGCCGGTGGCGACTTGTTCCGCCGTTGCTCGGCGCTTTCCTTCGCTTCTCTATACTTGTTGCGAATCCAGCCGATCGGGCCCTTGGACTCCTCTCTGCTCTCTCTATCCCGATTGCCGTCTTGGCCGTGCGAGACGTCGCTGCTGACTGGCGCGGCATCTGAGCTTTCGCCCGTGAAGCTCTTCCGCGGTTTGTTGATGGAGCTCCCTATGGATGTGACACTCATCTCAGCGTAATCGTTCGATCCAACGAGGCCCAGTGGTGCCGATGTCACGTCGGGGGTAGAGCTGCCAGCATCTTCTTTCTTATGACGAGATAGCCTCCACCGCATCTTCCTCTCCCTTTCCCTCTCCCTTTCCCTCTCCCTTTCCCTCTCCCTTTCCCTTTCCATTTCTCTTTCCTTCTCTGGTTCGGCTGTTGCCGTGGCTACTGGCTCCTCCACGACGTCCAGCTCTGAACCTTCATTGACGGAGGAATGGAGCGAAGTCGGGGGCGACTTCTTGGAGCGAAAATGGTTTTCGGGGGAGAGTGTGTTGGTGTCGTTCGTGGGGCCTTGGGACGCGCTTGGTGGATTCTCTCTTTGCGCATCCGTGGGCGACGCTACCGTCAAGTTCGGCCCGTGCTCGGGAACCAGCGGCATCGTATGTTCTAGCGGGTTGGGAGCTTCCACCGCGGGCGAAGCCGCCGCCGAGTGCGCCCCGTGCAGGGACGTGCTAGAGCTTTGCGCGCTAGGGTTCAAGCTCCCCGGTAGCCGCTTCTTCTTCAGTTTGTTGGGTTGCCGTTTTTCCGCATCACCACCTGACGGTGACCTCTGGAAAAAACTCTGTAAATTTCGTTCCCTTATGGGGGTCGATACATCCTGCGGGGGTTCCAGCAAGCGTTCCTGGCTCCTGCCTAGTCCGCCAACAGAGCCGGGCGCCAGGCTGGATGCAGTGGTAGATTCCGGGATGATGCTCGGCGCGCCGATTGACTTCTCGGACGGCTCAGGTTGGTCCCGTGTCGATACTGACGCAATCGCCTCGCGAATGACAGGGCCTTTGGCTGGAGACAAGGGAGATATGTTGGGGCTGCGGAACCTTCCAGCCTGAAGGTTGGGTGACTTCTTCGATGGTACGGTATTGCTCCTAGTCAACCCCCCAGTCGGCGTGACAGCCAAGCCGGGGCTGTTTGGAGTCGTGGCCCCGTCGTGGCGCGAATGTTTCGAGGACGTGGATCGGTTCCTTCGAAGCGTGCCATCCCGTCGAACGCTTTCCGCCCCTGCGCTAGCATTGGATGCAGACCGCCGCAGGTCCGACCGCCGGCTGGGACTTGGGGTCGCTGGTTCGGCAAGGGGCGGCGTTCCCATTTCGATTTCCTGCTTCGTCTTCTCGTCGGTGCCGGTACCTTGCATCCCTATTAAGAAATGGTCCTGGTTCTCGATGAGGAAGATGATGACGCATTGGTTCAGGCGATATTCTTCGGGTGCCATGGCATGGGCGGGATGGGAAAGCATGCCCGGCTGAAAGATAGCCGCCAGGTTCTGAGACGTCATCCTGTTCTCGTCGGACTTGGCCGCGAACACCGCAAGCAGATCGAGAATATAGAGCAGGAGCTGGCGGTTCAGGGGCGGCAGCTCGGTAATGAGCTGCTGGTATCTGGCGATGGCAGCATCCTCGTCGAAGTTGTCAACCAATTGCGGGCCCTCTGAATCGGGGAGGGTTGGCTTCGTGGCCCCCTTGAGAGGCTCTCGAAATTTCTCATAGAGGTCCAGCGGCACTACAGGCTCCGGCAAGTCATTCAGGTACCTTCGAAGAAGGTTAGAGGCGTCATGGACGGTGTAACCGTCCCACACCAGGCCTTTGCCGTAGCGGTCTGGAGAGTCAAAAACCTGCTTAAGTTCTTTGATGCGCTTCTCGGAACCGCTGAGACGAAATATGCCCTCGATACCGGTGGCTGGTAAACACGTGTCAGCCGCAAGACGGCATTCCGGCCAGCCCACACAGAAGCGAACCGCAACTCACCCTTCTCCTTCAGGAAGACGCCACATTTGGCGACGACAATAGGGACGTATCCGTATATGTAGCTCTGGCCGTTCTCGTCGACGAGGGAGATGGCGACGTTCGCGTAGGTAATGCTCTGTCGGAGCGGCACGCCGAAGATGCCCTGCGGACGGGACTCTGGAGTTCCTAAACCAAGCTTAGTCTTCATGAATTTTGCTGAGGTGAGAATACAAGATGATGCGATATGCGCACAGCACCTGGCGGACTCGGCAAGGAAACGGAGAAACTTTGGGGACGTGGACGTGGACGTGGTGGCATCGCCCGAGAAGGGAGACTCGGAAGCAATGACGTGCGCGTCATGTATCCGCAGAATCAGCTCCAGCGGGTGGAGTGTGGCGTCCAGCTGGAGGTCCTGGATGACTTGGCTGTAGGAAGGGTGGAGGGGATATCTGGGGGAAGATGACGCGAAAGTAGAAGGGGGTGTACCATGGGGTTCCTGCTGTTTGGATGGAAGTTTGAAGCCTTTCCACCACGACTTCAAATCCCGTTTGCTGGGGGGAGAAGCAGCATTGGATGGAGCCCCGTTCCTGGGGTCGAAGCCGGCGGTCATCGTGGCAACCGCTCAGCGGATGTGTCAACCGGACTTGCCCGGCGATGCTCTCAGAACCGAGTTGGGGTTCGGTCGAGTGGACAGAGGGTCAGGGTATAAAAATTCGAGCAAACAATGGAGTGAACCCGATGGACGGGCGGATTAAGCTATGATAGAAGTCGTGACGGGGAGATCGGTCGCATGCGTCGAAAAAGGGGAGGGTGGTGAGTTCGGGACTGAGTTAGTCAGGACGCGGGACGCGGGACTGGGACACCAAAGCGCGAAAGCGAGAAGTGGGTGCGATGAGCCGAGAGATTATGGACAGCGGCACAACTCGTCGTTCGTCGAATGGCTGGTTTTGACATGGGAAAGCTTCGTTGATGGGCGGGTCACGAAGACGTCGAGGTCGAGGTCGAGGTCGGGGTCGGGGGAAGAAGGAGGTTGAGTTTTGGGGTACCACGTAAGGTAGATTGGAAGCAACACAACGCACGCGGCGGAGGAGCCAGGCCTGGGGTTCGAACCACTGATGAGACTCGGCTGGGACGAGTGACTGACGGGGGCTAAAAGAGTACCTAGAAAGTGGAAACCTTGGAGGGAGTTGGCATTGGCCGACTGCGCTAGTCCTTCCAGGTAGAAGTGGATATGTGGATGTGAAATCTGGTGGACGTACGGTATGTGTAGGTACTCTATACCTGTACGGTGTATGTGGAGCGAGGCCCGGGCCCTGTTTGGACTCCCTGTTTGGGTGGGGGGCATTCAACCCAGAGGAAGGGAGCCGCGAATGGAGACAGGCCAGAGCCTTGGTAGACGTAAGAGGGGTAGGGAGATCAGCACCACCCAGCTACCGAAGTAATTGATAATTGGCTATGAAAAGAAGGAAAGAAATAAAAAAAAGATTGCTCCCTGGCCCACGATGCAGGGAGGGGAGCGATGCTGCCGCCCGTAACTATTGCCGATTTGTTGGAGGGACAGCTGAAGAAGAGAGGATCGCTGATGGAACCAGGAGAGAAAGCAATAACGGGAGAGGGATAAAGAAACCCACCCTAAAAGAAAGTGGTCATGCTTGGATGGCAGCGACAGCGAGAAGGGACAACACGGTGATGGCCGGCTGGGGCTGAGATGTGGACATTCGTACAAAGTAGTAGTGTCTACTGGCGGAAGCTTGAATTCTCCGTATTGATTATGCCACGTCTTGTTTATAAAATCCTCAATGTTTAGTGGGAAAATAGAATACCTCACAGAGTACGATAGCCTTAGAATATTATCAAATAAATTAAGAAGCGAATAGGAGAGGAACGAAAAGATAAAACAAGATATTAAAAGCGAAAATACTCTACTGAGCTTTCCCGGGTACAACTAACATGGATTAGAAGAGTTCGTGATGAGAGAACGAGGTGATACTACATGGATACCTACCTAGGCACTTACGGTGTAGAGATTTGGCGCTGTACGCTCTGTACCTTACGCTGTATACTAGTTATCTGGTAATATATTGTCCTGATTTCAGGGCTAGCCACGCTTAGCTTATAGTGCCTAACCTTATGTTTACCTTACTTTTTATATATCCTTAGTTTGTTTTTCTATATAAGGCTTAGCAGGGTATCTAAACGGAGGGATCTTATTAGTTAAGGAAGTCTATATATAGGGAGCTTTTTAGGACTATACTATAGACTTTTAAAAAGGCCTGGAAAGCCCTCTTCGGTTTAAGGGTATCGCTACTATTATAGTAAGAGGAATTTAGCGGCACGCTATAGAAGATAGAATTTATAGCCGTCTCTAATAACCCCTATATTATAATCCACGATAGTTTAATCCTATTCTTCTACGTTAACGATATCGGACTTATCTACTATAGAGATTATAATACTAATGCTGATAATCTTAAGACTACCCTTAAATAAAGCTATAGGTTATTATAAGGCGATAAAATCCGTTAATTCCTAGGAATTAAGGTTTTAAGGGATAAAGCTATACGTAGGTTATAGGTATTATAATCCTTATATATAAAGAAGATTATAGTTAAATGCTACGTAGATATCCTTTACCGAAAACCGCTAAAAGTTCGATTATTAACTATAAAGCCGTTAATACTATATAATAGTATACGCGCGTTAATTCCCGAGGTCCGCTAGTATTAGGGTATAATAGGTTTAACCCTATATACCGCTATTATAGTAAGACCCGATATTATATTCGCCTATTTAAAGCTTTCCTAATATAATGTTAACCCCTCCTTTAACCACCTTAAAAAGGCTTAATAAATACTATTACTCCTATATTATATAAGACACTATTACCTAGAATTTGGTAAGGATAGACTCTTTCTAACCGTAAGCGACGCGTCCTTCGGGGATAATATAGACCGTAAAAGCTCCTAAGGATACACGATAAAGCTTTTCGGCGGCACTATTAACTAAAAGGCCGGTAAGTAACTAATAGTTACGATATTATTAATAGAGTCAGAACTACTTACTCTTATAAAGGCCGCTAAGGAGATATTATTCGTTAGTCGGATATTAAGGGATCTAAAGCTTTAGTTAAATTAATAATAATTACGCTATACTACGATAATTAGTAAACTATTAACCTTATTAATAAGAAGGTATAACGCCTATAAATAAGACTATGGTATATCAATATTTATAGCTAATAGGTGTGTTAGTCAGTATAGTAAGGTCTTTTTAAGGTTATATATATTAACACGAAGGATATAATCATAGACGGCTTAATAAAGGTATTACCGGAGGCAGGGATTAAAAGATTATAGTAATAGCTGAATTTAACGGATTAAAAGGATTATATCGAGTAGTTAAAATAACTACACGAAGAGATTAAACGCGCTAAAGCTATAGCCGTAATAACGATAAAGGCCCCTAAGGGTGTAGTAAATCTAATAGAGGTAGATTCGATTAAGTAGATCCGGCTAATTAGGATTAAGGAACCGATTAAGATAGAATTAAATTAAATGGTTAAATAAGGCAGATTTAGATTATTTTTATAAGGGCGTTTCCCCCTTAACTATTAATTTTATAATAAAAGAATTAAGAGCTTTTACTTTAAACTAACGCCTTTAATTAGTTAGTTAACCTAGGAAGACCCACCTTAACTAAGGAGGTATATCGTATAGATATACGGACTATAATATAGTCCCTAGGGGATCTATACCTAACTAAAGGCTTCGAATCTTAGGGACCTTAGGTATTAAGATATAATAAGGGCGGATACTAGGAAAGACCGAATAGAATCCAAATAATATAGTACCTATAACAGAGTCTTCACCACCTAAATTAAGGGTATAAAAGTGTCGTATAGGCACATAGACCACGACGTGGTCTATAGGGGATCCAGGGGGGATCCACGCTATAACTAAGGGCTTCGGATATAATAGGGGCGGATACCAGAAAGGACCGGATAGGATATAAATAACTTAGTACCTATAACAGAGTCTTTACCACCTAAATTAAGGGTATAAGAGACTCTCCTAGATATAACTTAATATAATATATATATATATAAGATTTCTACTCTAATAAGTTAATTATTAAAGTGCCTATTTAACGTGCGATAGTTATAAGCCCGGTTTATAATGTCTAAACCATAGATATTAATAAGGCTACCCCTATTCCACTATAAAAGTAATTATATCTATATAGGCACTCTTAAATAACTACTATTAACCTAATTAGAGTAATTAAGCGATTAATTAACCTACTAACCTATCTATTAATTAATTAATTAACCGAAAAGTAAGTAAAGATATCTTCTAATGTATCTAACGCCGAATAGAAGGCGGCCGCTATTACCCTTATTAACTAAAGGGATTAGGCAGTATAGGAGCGCGTTATACGCGGTAAATCTACCTCCTACTAGGATAACTACCTTAATCTAAAGCTAAGCGATAAGGAGGCTAACGCCTATCTCCTCCCTATACCTACACCGCCTAACGTTCGTAAATATAAAGCCCTCGCCGTAGATCCTAAAGCCACGGAGGAGGCCACGGCTACTCTATCTTCTACTATCACGCTAGAGGGCGATAAGGCTATAAACGCTACGGACGCCGCCGCTACCACGGCGGCTACGGCTATCGGTAAGAAGAAGACGGCCGCCCGCTAGAAGACTACGGCCACGACCGTAATAAAAGAACTAACGACTAGGACATCTATATCTATTAATAACCTCTCTAAAAAGGGGCGTATATACTACCTATAAGATCGCCGCGTATACCGTAAAGAAAAGGCAGACTATAACGCGTAGTAGAAGGAGTTCAATAAGGTACGCTCCTATATCGAAAGGACTATCTATACTATATTACGTAGCCTCCTCGCCTAGCTATAGAATAATACCGTAAATAACCTATAGGCTTAAATTACTCTCCTACACGCGTACGCAGGACTAACCCCTATAAACCTCTATAAAGAAGCCTTAATCCTGTATCGATAATACACTACGCCTATAAAGGCTATACCTAAGGATATAGACGGCTAGGTTATAAGCTAGAAAATAGCGATAATACACCATAAATATATAGGCGTCTTAGAGCTATTAAGCGCGGACCGTTAAGTAGAAAACGCGTTAAAAGCTATTAGACCTATTGCCTAGGAATAGAGTAATAACTACCTAGTAAATAACTACGATAAGATTACGGAAAATAAGCTAACAGATTAATAACTTCGTAAAAGCTCTACGTACGGTTCTTAGTCATATAAAGAGCCTATAATCCTCTGCTATAAAGCCTAGAGTTAGGAGAGGCACCTTTAACACCCTTAGGAACCTCCCCAATACTAAGGATACTACTAATAATAAAGATAATAAGAAGCGTCCTTATAGTAATACGTCCATAAAGGCTATCCCTCCTATAATAAGGAGGCCTTATAAGATATATAAGAACCCTTATACTACCGCCGCCTATTAGTATATAAGGCCGGATATACGCTCTTATACCTAGCATGGCCGTAAAGATATTATAAAGATTACGGAAAAGAAAATACGTAATTATAGTTTTAAAAGCCGCGTGGATACCGCGATATAGAAGAGGCGGGAAGCCTTAGGGGCTATTACTGCTAATAAGATAGAGGAAGTCTAGGAAGATTAACTCTATAATACTACGCCTAGTATAACTACTATATAATAAAATCGGGGGGTTATTAGGCCGCCTGTAAGTATAGCTTTAAAAGACCTATCCGTCACCGTGATAGGGAGACTAGGCGCCTACCTAACCTAAGGGGTAGCGCGCCGTCGTCGTATAACGATACTATTAAGATTATAATAAGAATAGAGGGTATCTCTCTCTATTAACTAAGCTAAAGCGTTATTATACTACGTAATCCTAGACTTAGGATTATTAATCTATATCTTTAATAATTAAGGCTGTTTTACGGCTATTAGACTACCCACAGATACTTTATCTTTATCCTTTTAGGTGGGTACTTATAAGGCTTCTATCCTCGGATACGGAGACGTTAAGCTATATATATAATCCTTATCGGGCACGAAGAGGCTACTACGCCTCTATAATATCGTATACTATAAGGAATTCATTACTAATATCGTCTTAGAACGCTAGCTACGCCTATAAGGCTACCGCTAGGACACCGTAAATATTACTATTATTAGCTCCGCCGACGACCGGCCTATCTATAAGCTACTAAATATCTACGGCTAGTATATAATTAAGCGCGTAAAAGCCACGGCCGCCACGGTATTCGCGGTCTTAGTAAGGCACCCGCGCGATAACCCGTATAGAAGATCACGATAACCGCGGTAACCGTAGAAGACTATAGTATAACGGTAGTATAATCGCCTCGGCCACTACGGCACCGATACTCTTATAAAAATCGTCGACGCTACTTAGCGGGTAAAGATAAGGGGACCTTATATAACGGACTATAACGCATGTAGGTAATCGTAAGTGCCTACGTAGATCCGGCGGATACTATCCCTTTACTCGTTAAAGCCCAGAGAGGCCCTAGCTATTAATTTTCACGATCTAAAAGAGGCGGAGTAGTTAACGGGCGGACTATATAAGTCCATTATATTCGTTATAGACGTATATATAGGTTATACGTGGAATTACTACCTATAGAAAAGAGACTAAGGCTTTATCCTATATACTTTAAAAGACGTTTTTGC